AGAAGTTGTTACCATAGGCGTATTTTAACGTAAAATACGTCTAGAGCAAGAATTGTATACAAAGTCTCTTGTATTCTTTAGGCGCAAGTCTTTTTAATTCACATATAAGTACTACACAAAATTAAGCTAGAGTATTAAAAGAGATGTAGTGCTTTTCAATTCACCTAAATTAAAATAGTATAATAAAAGATATGTAACCCTTTGAGCTTTTGTGTGTCGTGGATGTAGGTGATAGGATGAACCACATATATCATTGTGTTATTTCATTCTAAAATTCTCTTTTTAATTTTTAATATGGTATCGGAGCGGGTTGATGGTATTCTACTCTAAATCTGTCTTCCAATTGGTTTATCTCAATTGTTTTCCCCTTCACTCTCAATTTGTTAGGCAAAGAATTGCTGGTTTTTTTTCCCATCATTTTGCATGTAGCATAATTTCGTGCATTTCTTTTTTCATGTCAAATGAACAGTGACATCATCAGAGGAGTCTCTTTGTGACTATATCATTCAGGGGGAGCCTCCAAAATTATTTTTGCTATGTTAAACACATATTGTTGGCTATATGGCAAATCTTTTGATCAAGTGTTGATTTTAAGACTTTTTTTTTTTTTCTAACAAATTAGGATGAGGGGAGACTCGAATAAGAGCACACCCATTTGGGAAGACGAGTGTTCTATCAACTAGGCCACTGAATAATACCCATTTAATTTTAAAAACCACCAATATATTTTTCATAATCTTGGTGCTTTCGCCTAGGTTTGCTCAACAGGGGGAGATGGAATTTGTTAACCGAACAAATCCATATTTGGGTTAAAGTAGACATTACCACATAGGTTTGCCAAATTTTCTTTTGCTCTTCTTTAAGGGTGGCTTTTCCCTATTAAAGTCATTACTCATTATTCACCAATTGCAAGGTGATTCTTCAAGCTTTGTTTTGGTCTATTTTGACGCTATCATCATTCCTGAAAATGATGATTTGGCTGTTAAGTTTCTCAAGTAATTTCCCTCTTCAAAATTTTTAGTCAAATATTTGGGCAGCCTAAAATATTTTTTTAGCATTGAGGTCACCTGTTCTCAAAAGGTATTTCCTCTCTCAAAGGAATTACACTTGGACAATCTCAACTTGCAGATATCTGATATGCAAGTCGAACGTTATTAATTTCTATACACCCTCTACCTTAGGGGTAGTGTTAATGTTACTATACTTGAGCAGCAAATTGTTAACATATATGTATTTGACTTTCTTTGTATTCCCTAGGTACAAGTCTTTCTTTTATTATGAAATACTTGGAGCGTATGAATATTTTTTTAGGTGCAAGCCTTTTTCAGTTCACCTATGAATAGAGATTTCATTATACACAAAATTAAGAAAGAGTAATAAAAGAGGCGTAACTTTAAGAGGTTTGTGTTGTGGATGTAGGATGTAGTGGCCAATCTACTGTATCATATTGTTGTTTCATGCTCTCTTTTTTCTCTTCAACTTCGTTTTTTTAAATTTTTTTTATATTTACTTTCCATTCCCCAATCCTTAACTATGTGTAGTTTAGTTGCTCGTAAAGAACTAAAAATTTCTTCGTGAGAAAATACCCATTCGGCTACTTACGGAGGAATGAGGATGGAAGAGAAAATCAATGGACATTAAGTCATATATATGTATGACTTTTTTTTTTTTTTTTTGTCTATCAATGGAAGATTGAGTGTTCGAGTTCTATTAAAGGCAATATGATAAAAATGTAAGATGCTTCATTCAACTCTTTTAGAAGAAATTCAAGAAGACTATAGTTGTTTCTTTTTATAGGAATGTCAATCTAACCCATCTTGGAGCTCTGCATTAATAGAACGGAACAGAATTGGTGCATTCTAATGAGGTTAGGAACGAGTTGAGAAAGAGTGTATAGAAAACAACAACAGTCACTTTGTTGAATTTCTTCCAATAAACACTATCGTTGACACAAGTTAATATCATTAGAATGCACCAATTATGTTCCATTAAAGCAGAGCTCCAAGATCGATTAGATTGACACTCTTATAAAAAGGAAACAACTTTATAAAAATATTCGTCTCGATTAGTCATTAAAATATAAATAATAGTATTAGTTACAGTTTTTTTTCTTTTTAATGTTTTTCATAATAATTTTAAAAACATTAGGTTGTTGAGTGTTTGTTTATAATTTTATTCTTCCAAAAGAAATATATATAGAGCGCGATGACTCGAACCAAACAATGAAAGAAATTCAAATTCGTAAGGCATTCTATCCATAGGAACACAAAGATAAAAAAAAGCCTCCAATTGATTAAGATGATTATCATTAAATTTTATATCAGTCAAGTTATCTAAATCACTAAAATATTTAAAAATAGTGGGTAAAGTTTTTTAATTGTTTTAAGCCACAATTCTTCCTAAAACATACTCCCTTTTTTTTTTTATAACTCGGAGTGTCTGGGATGTCACGAATGTTTAGGGCCTCTCAACAACCCAACTAATCACTGAGAATCCGGAAGGGCGCGTCCCCACCTGGACAGGAGTAAGTTACTGTAAGGGCAGCAGACGCTAGTCACGAAGAACACCTAACGGGACTTGAACCCCAAATCTTGGGCTTGCTAAGTTCCAAAGTTCAGCGAATGAACCGTTAGGCCATATCTAAAGTGGATCATACTCTGTATTTGAATAGTATTAAATGTTCTCTAAGGGTTTGTATATTATTTACTACGAGTATATTTCAAATTTACTAATGGTCCTAAAAAGAAAAAGGGCAAATTAAAATGACCTCTCTTGAGGTTTGGACTAATTGTAACTAAACTTGAGATTTGCCATTTTGTTGCAATATGACTCCCCAAGGTTTATCCCATTTTGCAAACACCTCCCCTCCTACAAAAAAGTAGTACTTTTTATCAGAAAAAATGGTTGAAGTGACCAAAATGCCCATCAACCAAGTAAAAAGACATTATTACCCTTATAGTATTATCAAATAACAAATTTTAATAGACAAAAATGCCCCTCGCCCTCCCTCACATTAAAATTTTATTTACCAAACACATTCAATTTATTTTATAAATCACTTATAAATTTATTTTTAAGATTTTACAAAACTTAACTATCTTGAAAATATATTTAATTAAAATTTTAAACTCACATGTTAAATATGTAATTTATATTTAAATTTTATATTAATTACATTTTAATTAAATATTCAAATCAAATCTATAGTTTAAAATAATATTTATTTACAATTTAAAAACAAATAGATAATTTAATAATTATTATTTAGATTAATTAACTTAAATTTAGGATTGCTAAAGAAAGAGAAATTAGAACTCTTAATTCGCATTGACTATGTTTATTTTAAAGTGCCTTACTCAATTTTATTTAGAAAAAAAGCAAAGAAATAAAAGAAAGTACAATTAAAAACCCAAACGCACCGCCACTCCACTCCCTTCACCGCCACCGCCAATCCCCACCCTCCTTCACCACTCTTGTTTCTCTTTACTCTCGAACCCAACCACTTTTCCATTTTCGCCACCACCAGGCCCACCACTATACCACCATAGCCACTACCATTAATTGTCTTTCATTATATATATATATACACACACACACACACACACGTGTATATATATACACTCAAGAGCCACCACCAGACCCATCACTATACCACTAGACCCCCCGCCACTACCATTAATTGTCTTTCAATATATATATATAGACACACACACACACACACACACACATGTATATATGTACATACTCATGAAGAGCCATAGATCGGAAAGCGCCAAACGGAGAGGTTTTTTCGGAATCCTGCAATTCTAATTCAATCAACTAAATATTCAACTAGTCTAATTAATTGTCTTTTCTCATCTCGGCTTTTTCCCCTAACCTTCCTCTATACCCGGCCTGAGCCGATGATGTGAATGAAGAAAGATTTAAAGTCAAAAATTTTGGGGGAATACTTTTTGAGACCAGATTTGGAAACCGATTCCACATAGAAAAAGAAATTAAAAATTTAGGGGGAGTACTTTTTGAGACCAAATTTGGTGGTGGTGGATTTAAGGATGTGGCGGTGTTTGTGGAGGTGGAATGGTGCGAATCCATGGTGGTGGTGGTGGTTGACGAGGTAGGGATTGCGATAGTGGTGGCGCAGCTATTGTTACACCCAAAGATTGAAAGGGGGGAAGTACTTTTTGAGACCAAATTTGGTGGTGGTGGTGGTTTTAGGGATGTGGCGGTGTTTGCGGAGGTGGAATGGTGCGAATCCATGGTGGTGGTGGTGGTTGACGAGGTGGGGATTGCGATAGTGGTGGCGCGGCTGGTGTTACACCCAAAGATTGAAAGAGAGACTGGAGATTGATGGAAAGAGCTGAGACTTTGGAGATTGATGGAGCTGTTATTCTCAAGGACGCTAGGTAACAAATGTGGGGTTGTAAGTATAGGGGTTAAAATTGACATTTGATATATTTACATATTTTAATTATTTTTATAATATAATAATGAGGATAGATAAATAAAATCACAACAAAATCTGACAAAGGGGGCCTTCGCAAAAAAATAGAAAACCTTCAGTTTTGTTGCTATTAGTCCAAACTTTAGGAGACGCGATTGTTGTTTGCCAAAAGAAAAAAGCTAGTACTATTAATAGTCAACACTATAATATTATTTTTCAAATAAATATTAATCATAAAAGCGATACAATCATTCAAAATCAATGACTAATGACTGCCGCGGAATCATCTCCTACCTTTACTAAAATGTCCTTTTATTCAAAATCAAAGAGATAATATGAATGGTACGAAAGTCATTCCACAAAAGGGCATTTTCGTCCTAATACCAATAAACACCAAATTTTGAAAAAAAAGCACAGCAGTTATTACATCAAATCAGACCACCATCCGCACCGTCAAATCATTTCATCCGACGGCAACCGACGTTGTTAAAACAAGTCGGAGGGAAACAATATTGACCGTCCGATCTCACAGTCTCACCCTCCACTCTTATATAAATCACTTTCCTGTGTTTCATCTTCTCCATACCTACTTCACTCTCTCTCTCTGCCTCTTCGAGGTTCAGATCGGGTACTCTCTCTTGCTCGATCGCCGGAACCTCGCCGGGACCCTCCCATTATCGTCTCCGGTCGCCTGAATCTGCGGTATGTTTACAGTTTCTTCTACGATTTTGGTTTCACTTCAGATCTAAGTCATTTAAATTTTAGTTTTGTTCATTTATTTGAATATTTCATTACATTTCGCAACAATCTTCGATCTGATAACTGGATTGAAAGTGTTTATGAAGAGATAATTTTGTAGTGAGAGTGTGTTTGAGAGAGAGTGGGCTGAGCATCAATGTTGGAATCAGTTTGGTTAAAGTTCATATGGTTACTCTGGTAAGGATTTAGTGTGAGAGAGAGAGTTGCAGCTTGAGGTTCTGTGAATTGAGAAAGAGAGACTTCCTTATTTGAGACGATTTGGAAACCAGATCGGTTAGGGTTTCCCTACGATTTCATGTGTGCTTTACTTATTTCCCTTACAGATCTTGGTATTAGCATAATATATTGTTCTTTCTGCTGAGAACTTGATTATTGTGTTAATTGCAGGTAAAAATGAGGGAAATTCTTCACGTTCAAGGTGGTCAATGTGGAAACCAGATTGGATCGAAGTTCTGGGAGGTTGTTTGTGATGAACACGGTATTGATCCGACTGGTAGATACACTGGAACCTCCGATCTGCAATTGGAGCGAGTGAATGTGTATTACAATGAGGCTTCCTGTGGGAGGTTTGTTCCTCGTGCTGTGCTCATGGATCTTGAGCCTGGTACCATGGACAGTGTGCGAACTGGTCCGTATGGACAGATTTTCAGGCCTGATAACTTCGTTTTTGGGCAATCCGGTGCTGGAAACAATTGGGCCAAGGGGCATTACACCGAGGGAGCGGAGCTCATTGATGCTGTTCTTGATGTGGTGAGAAAGGAGGCTGAGAATTGTGACTGTCTTCAAGGTATATATCTGTTTTGGTCATCTTTGTGGTTCTCAAATTGCTATGTAGTTCATCGAAAATACCTGGTTGCATCTTCTGAATTCTTTTGTTGCCATGATATTAGGAACTAGTTTGTGGTAGACTAATGTGGAAGCTAGTTTCTGGCTTATTCATAATCAGGGTTGTGTTTCTATGTATAGACTATACAATTAAATTAACCTGTATATGAGTGAGAAATGGGTATTTCTATTAGGAGTTGGTATTTCTATCGGTAGTCATTTTGATAAGATATTTTTGTTTCCGAATTTAAATTCTGAATCTTTCATATCTGTTGTGTTGAAGGTCTATAATTCTGTTTCTTACCATTTTTTCCCATGGAACATGAGTTCATTTATTTGGTTTGGAACTATCACATGAAATATAGATAAGATATTTCCACTAGGAGTTATGGTTTTCTTTTTCACTATATCATTAAGCAACTTAATATTTAAAGAATGCCACTGTTTTTGGCAACTGGTAGATGGAAGATTGTTTTGTTTGCTTTTATAAAAAGTTGAATTGGCAGATCTTGACACTTCAGTAGTAACTTATGTCAACGATAGTGTTTTTTAATCCTTTTTCTATTGTCTCTCTTCTTTTTATCACAGTACACTTGTTTTTAAGGGAATTTGTGCTTGTAATTTGATGTCATTACTTCCTTGGTAAAGATTTATTTTAAAACTGCTGAATAAAAGCTTTGTTTTCTCTGAATTGTCGTGCAACTGATACATTGTATTTTCAAGACAATAACACATTATCTAGTGATGAGATTTCTCAAGAGTGAAAATGCATGCTGTTTGCTAAATAACTGATCTATAATATATGGTATTAGTTTTGCTGAATGAGAAATCTGGTGTTGAACTTTCTCTAATTTTTATATTGTCACTCGCTGTGATGAGATTTCTTAGAAGTGAAATTGCGCACTGTTTGCTAAATAACTGATCTTTATTATGTGGTATTAGTTTTGCTGAATGGGTAATCTGTGTTGAACATTCTTTAATTTTAATATTGTCTTTGTGTAGGTTTTCAAGTCTGTCACTCTCTGGGTGGTGGAACTGGTTCTGGGATGGGGACTTTGTTGATTTCAAAGATCAGGGAAGAATATCCTGATCGAATGATGCTCACCTTCTCTGTGTTCCCATCGCCGAAGGTCTCAGATACAGTGGTTGAACCATATAATGCAACCCTTTCTGTTCATCAACTTGTAGAGAATGCGGATGAATGCATGGTGCTGGACAACGAGGCCCTGTATGATATCTGTTTCAGGACACTCAAGTTAACTACTCCTAGCTGTAAGTTTATCATGCCCTTCTAGATATTTATGCTCTGTTTGATGCAAATGATGGAAATTTTAATAGAAGGGAAGGTAGGAAGGAAGGATGGAAGAGGCTTCCCTAAGGAAAGTAAAGAGGCTAATGTTTTTTTGGTTGATTTGATGGAAATAAGTAAGGGAAAACATACTTTGAGACTTGAATTTCATACTCTTCAACATAGAAAAATGGCTTTTTTAGCATGGTATGTGAAAAAAGAGGATGTTTCCCTTGTTTCTTTTCTCTTTCGTTGAAGATATATGATGGGACCAGAGGGATGGGGAATTGCCTCTTTCCTCCAGTCCCTTCTTTGTTTGCCTCTTCTTCCTTCCTTTCATTCTTCCTCCCTACCAAATATGCTATTAGAATTAGATTGGAATATATTTGCAGATGAAAAGCTACATTGGTTTGATTTACTTAATTCTGATATGTTCAGTTTGTTGCATGTTTGTACTAAATCATATATGATAGCTAGCTTGCTTGTGCTGATATCAACATATTCATCAGTTGTGCATATACATATTTACTTTGTGACTGTCTTTTGTGATTTTATGATAATACTGTTTTTCTTGTGCTGAAAATTTATTGATTATTTATCTTGTTTATTAGAAGTAAAAAACTTAAAATGGATGGAAATGAAAATCATGAGAAATTGATCCAGACAAAAGACCGAGTTCCAGGATTCTGTCTTTTGTATCTAAAATTGACACAATGCTCATTTGTAATGCATTAGCGAAACTATTCAATTATTTGTTGCACGAATTCTTCCCTTCCTCAATAGATCATTTCCTCTATATGCTTGTAGAGTAGCGGTGTATGCCCTGGTTTTTTATTGCTTTAATAATTCCTTCATAGCATCTGATTTGTCATTTGCCAGCTGTATATTATCTACTTGAGCTTGCATTTAGCTTGGGTGGTCGGGGTCCTCCTTGTTGGTTCTTTAAGATTCTTGACAAATGAATTTTGGTAGAGACTGGCATTTATATGGGTTGGTAAGCTGTTATAGTCTAGTTTTTACATGTATTAACTTACTGCCAAGGTTTCATAGTAGTGTGGGGGTGCTGATAGACAATGACAGAATTCTGGAACATAATCTTTTGTATCTAAAATTGACAAAATGCTCATTTGCAACTTATTAGTGAAACTATTTGATTATTTGTTGCAGAAATTATTGCCTTCGTCAATAGATCATTTCCTCTATATAAGCTTATAGGCCTTTGGATTAACATTTTTTCTTCTTCTTGGATATACACCTTTATAATTTGTATATATGGTTGAGAGTTGTATGATATGTTCTTATTTTTTATCGCTTTCATAATTCATTCATAGCATCTTATTTGTCAATTGCCAGTTGTATCTTATTATGGTTGCATTTAGTTTTGATGGTCCTTCTTGTCTGTTCTTTGAAATACTTGACAAGTGAATGTTGGTACAGACATGCATTTATATGGGTTGGTGAGCTGTTGTTCTTACATTTCTTTAACTTGCTGCCAAGGTTTCATCATAGTGCGGGGACCTAAAGACTATTATCATGATGCTGATAGACTATTACATTTCTTTAATGCTAGTTTTTGTCATATCAGTAAAAAATCATGTAGTTCAACATTTTCACGATTAGCTGAATTTTTTTCTCTTGCATACTACTACCTCCGTCCCATTTTAAACGTCGGTTTCGGGAATTGTGACTCACAATTTTATGAGTCACAATTTTGTGAGTCACAATTCCCGAAGCTAACGTTTAAAATGGGACAGAGGGAGTATCTGAATTCTAGATTACCGTTCAATGGAAACTGTATATGTTATCACTAAAAACAGTTTCGCTTCCGTTATTCGGACACAATTTCACTAGGTGCTTGTTCCTTTATCTTTTATTGGGGGGGACATGCTGAATTTTATTTCTTATTATGACAGTTGGTGACCTGAACCATTTGATCTCTGCAACTATGAGTGGGGTAACATGCTGCCTAAGGTTCCCTGGTCAGCTTAACTCTGACCTCCGTAAACTTGCTGTCAACCTCATCCCTTTCCCTCGTCTACACTTCTTTATGGTTGGTTTCGCTCCCCTTACTTCACGTGGGTCTCAGCAGTACCGGGCATTAACTGTTCCTGAGCTCACCCAGCAGATGTGGGATTCCAAGAACATGATGTGTGCTGCAGACCCACGTCACGGACGCTATCTCACTGCCTCAGCCATGTTTAGGGGCAAGATGAGCACAAAGGAAGTCGATGAACAAATGATCAATGTTCAAAACAAGAATTCTTCTTACTTTGTCGAATGGATTCCAAACAACGTGAAATCAAGTGTCTGTGACATTCCTCCCAGGGGGCTTTCAATGGCCTCAACCTTTATCGGGAACTCGACTTCCATCCAGGAGATGTTCAGGCGTGTAAGCGAGCAGTTCACGGCCATGTTCAGGAGGAAGGCTTTCTTGCATTGGTACACTGGAGAAGGCATGGACGAAATGGAGTTCACTGAGGCCGAGAGCAACATGAATGATCTTGTATCCGAGTATCAGCAGTACCAGGACGCCACAGCCGACGAGGAACTCGATTATGAGGACGAGGAGGAAGCTGAGCATGACATGTAATGTGTGAGAGATTACGAGCCTTATGCCGCTACTATGGTGAAGAATGATGGATGCCTAAATATATCTACTACTGCTAGTTGAGCGCTGGATGTTTCAATTTATTTGGAATATGACTGCTATATTAGTATATAGTAGTAAATATGTGGTTGGAAAAATTCCCATTTTTCCATCTGGTTATGGTATAATAATATTCATAGGTGGGAGATTCAGAAAGTTGTTTGTATTGCCCTGTTTGAATTCTTTTTCTGTTTTCAATCCATTTCTAGTATATCTAAAGTTTTATAAGCCTCCTCTTGTAAATGAGTGTGGTCCCTATTTGCTAATTTGGATGCTTGTTATATTTTATCACAATGCCACCCAGTTTTCTCTGACTTGACAGAGCTTTTATCTTTTGATGATATATGATTGTGCACACGTCTTAGCATGGTTTGCCATATCGGTTCAAACGTGTGCATCGGTCGGTTCTTAACATGTTTTTTTTAAGGTTATGATATTGTTATATATTTTCATAAACCGGTCGGTTCGACGGTTTAAATCAATATTCGTCTGAGTCCGTTACATTGCATCAAACCGTCGGTTCAATTGGTTTAAATCAACATTCGCCTAAGTCCATTACATTGCGATGTGATTGATACCGCAATTGCGAACAATGCGAACAATGTGTGTGAGTCATCATGGCGGTCCGATGTGGTGCATCACAACATTGGATCCTAACTTAATTAAATCCACAAGTTTGGTCAGTGAAAGATTAAATTTGCTGAGAGCCCGTCTCAAAATTTTTGTCTACTTTATTTATTTATTTTGGAATGTCTTAAAATACATGTCTCAATTATAAAAGTGAATGTATTACTTTTTATAATATTTTCAAGCTATCATTTTGAATACTATTTAGTCTTTTAACAAGGACAAATTTAAAAATTTACTCTTATCAATATAATAAAAAAATATTTAAAATATACAACCATACAAAGTAGGTAAGTTTGTTTAATCAACAATATTTATGAAAACAATTTTCAAGTTTCCAGAGAACAGAAAATAGTTTTCCAGAAAACAATAAAATACAATTCCCTAAAAATAAGTTTTTTTATAATTAAATTTTCAGAAAACGTAACCAATCAGATTTTTTTTTTTTTTTTTTTTTACAATTTTCTATTTTCATTTTTCTGTTACTGTTCTCTAATCTACAAACCATGCAATGCCTAGAAGTTTTTTCTCCTTTCTTTTCTATTCTAGTTGATTCCATCCAACCAAACAAAGCCCCCAAACAATACCCAAGTAGCGGTTGTTAGTTGGCAATCAAATTGCTGTTAGGGTTAACAGACTACAATCCGGCGAACTTCATTAGTCAACAATGGAGACCAGAGCCTCAAATTCCGGCGTCGGGTGGTCTCCGATGAGGTCTTAGAGCTTCTACACTGTCCTTCAATTTGAGGGTAAGGATCTTTTTCTCTGACATCGTCAATGAATCTGTGGAGAAACAGGGATTGAGTCGAGCAATTGCCTTGAAAGATTATTGAATTTCGCTCCATCCAGATGTGGTAGATCGATGGTAGCAGGGATAGTCTAGAGGTGAGAGAAATCGATTGCCCTAATTCACAAAAGAGTTTCAATCAAGATGGGATATATATAGAAACCACATTTGGATTGAATGAAGGACCAGATAAGTTGTGTGAATTGGCAAGAGAGAGATAAAAATGAGTGATTCTCAGTGGCTGAATTGCAGAGGATTCACAGGTTATCAAGTCTGAGGTAAGTGGCATATTTCTTGTCCATTGTTGGAAGTTGATCGTGAACAGCTAGCAAGAAGTGAAGCTGTGTTTGGGGAATTGATGGCTGACTCCAAACCAAATGGAACCAAGGAATTGGGGAAAGAGGGGAAAGGGAGAAGGATTATGATATGTTTTGTTTGGAATATGTAATAAAAATTGTGAATATTATTAAATTATTATTTTTTGATTTATCATTATTGTTTTATTGTCTAATGTGACTTCTAGTTTATTATTACTTTTAACTCATACATTTTAATCGCCAAATTAGTTCTAAGTCTATACAAATTTAAAAGGGTTCTCTATGATACATGAATATGGTGGTGTGAGGCTGTGAGCCTATTACGTTGTATCTTGGACCCGAATTAGTTCCCTAGTACTTGCATGTAGGGAGGACTTCAGGACAGTGCCTAACATGCCTCAATATTTAGGCCAATTTTTTCCTCCTTATTTATCATAGTTGTTTTTTCATACTTAATTTCTATTGATATCTAAGGCTAGTTTGGTTCGTAGCTTTTAAAACAGTTCATTTTTTAGAAAATAATAAAAGAATATTCTTTGAAAATAGATATTTTTATAATTGAGTTTTAAGAAAACTAAACAAAATAAAACTTTTTTGTACAATTTTTTTTTTTTTTTTAATTTTCTGATAACAGAAAATTATTTCTATAGTGACAAACTAAACATGTCCTAAATTTTCTATTGTTGAGAATTATATGGCTTTTTGTAATATTTATGACTTGTTCAATATTCATGTTGTAGTTTCGATTGTATTATTATTCAATGTTCATTCTAAATTCTAACTGTTGTACTACTCATTTTATAAAAATAATTGTTAATTATTGATGTATTATTAAACTGTGATCTTTGTATATATGTTGTCGTTCTACGTAAAATTATTGAAGTGCTAATAAAATTTGATGTATTGTGTCTTAGAATATTGTGCTAATTCCCCAACATGTTTGAGTGAAAACAGCCCTGTTGGGGAAGGGGACCACATCATAGTGTCATCTGCAGATTGATTAGGGTTTGGAAGGGATGTTAATGAGGGGATGAGGTTTCTGTACATGAGCCGCTAAAGTCCAGGTCATGCCATTAATGAAGAGATCGAGAGTGGCGTATCGTGTAATGGGGGAAGTTTGAGTTGCATCAAGGCTTTGGCTGTGGTAAAGTGGGACCCCAATTATCATACCAAAAGGGAGTTATTCTTTCGTCAAAGACTGGTTGATTATGTACTCCGGTGGCCTTTTCAATCAATTTCGTTCTACTGTCCTGAACTTTTAGTATTTACCTTAGAAATTCCCCACTATTGGCCCGCGTGGTCATCTATATCTGAATAGTGTCACTAAGGCACGACTCCAAGATTTTGATGATTTTTAGCTTAAGATCAACTTACAAAATATGCTAAATAATAATTGTCATTTTTATTAAATTCTATCACTATTCAAAATACTGAATTGAGAGACGAAATTAACTTCCAACAATGTATTTTGGGAGACTTGAACCATCTACCTTTCACTTTGAAATGAGAAGAGATACCAATAAATCACAAGCGGTCATTTTATTTTGGACTTCTTTCGGTGTTACTTTTGAAAGTTCGCATTTAAAGGAAAAAAGTAAGAATAAACCACAACATAATCCATATAGCCATACCCCTCCTTTTCTTGTTCATATTTTTGCTCTAATTTTTTTACATATATATGCCAAAAAATTGGTTAGACGTTATTTTTTTATTTTTTATTTTTGCACTTAATGAGATATGAAATGCTCTTCGTCTAAAAGAATAATCTTAGGTCTACGAAATACTCTGTTTAGAAATAATCTAACCTTTTTTTTTTTTGTTTCATATTAAGAATATACACTAAAACATCTATCATAAAGAAAAATATACAATAGTTCATATTATATGTTTTGAATTTTGTTTTGCTAAATCATTTATTATTATCATAATTTTTTTCGAATAGTGTTTCTTTGAATTATCGTCGAACCTATAGCTTTGAATATTCAGAAGCTTCATGGCACCACCTGATCTTGAGATATTCGTCAATAACCTCACCAAAAAGGGAGAGGTATCACCATGGATAAGATCCTAGCAGCTGCTTTGGCATCTGGTTCACTCATAGATGGGGACAGGATTGATCAGCATCAAGAAAGGTTCATATTTTCTTTGGGATCAGATTTGAATACAGCACATTTGTTGCTGTATTTGAATGGAAAGAATTGGATGTAAAGGAAAAGGAAAAGAACGGTTCATAGCTTCTTTGGTTCGTTCGGGTCAAAGGTCATGTTAGGTTGGGTTAGTGTTAACGTTTCATACGTCAAGTCAAGTCCGAGTTGCACCTGCAACATACCCAACCCGCCCGAGTGCACCCCTAGAAATACCTTCCAAAGGCCTTATCAGTTGAGTTAGCCTGTGGTGACCAGTTATTATTTGTTTGATTATATAGCAAATAGAGGTAAAAATATCTTGGTTACCCTATTGTCCCTTAAACTTCAAATCCCTACTTGCAGCATAGTTCCACCAAAACTGAAACTGTTGAACACTGATATTGTACTGACCCTAGGTAATCCAAAACTTACATCTACAAGAGATAGCAAACTAATTTTGAAAACATGCTTAATTAGGATTGTCAAAAATAAACTCATGCTTATGATACCATGGATTGATTATATATAGGCTCTAGCTTATACAATAAGAAAATAATCCACCCTTCCTAACACCCAGGAATAGTATTACCACAAATAACGAGGACTATACTGATATGAACTTTCATCATTTGTAGAAATCCAAGATCCTAAGTGCACGAACCTCTTGTCATTGCGAGGTCTAAGAGGGTCAGATGTATATAGTCTTACCTCCGCATGGAAAAACTATTTCTAGTTTTAAACTCTTCCAAGTCATAATGTAACAACCTCATCGTTGCGTGAAGCCTGCTCTTGCTAGACCCGAAGGTGAAACAAAATTAAAATATTCTTGAGAAGAATCACCATGGATAAGACTTACAGCTTTTATTGGGACGAATTCACACAAAAGTGGGGAGGGGAACTAATCAATATCAAGAATAAGATTCAAAACTTTTTTGGCATTGGATTCGCACACACAAACTAAGTATCCTCTCATCCCACTCTAGCCATAGCCCTTGTCTTATAAAAGCCAACATAACTTGAAGTACCTAGCATAACTTGAATTCGTGTAGCTATCCAAGAAATCGAAATTAATGGCAAATCAACCTAATCTAGTCTTAAGTCCAGGCACGCCTTTACTACATCGTCACAATTTTCCTCCTGGTTTTGTGTTTGGAACATCATCATCTGCTTATCAGGTAACAACTATATGTTGTTGAGTTTTCGGTTTTGCTTTGTTTCATGTAAATTATTGTTGATTAAAAGCTTCTTATTTAACATCTACAGCACGAAGCTATTCTTATGTGTGCTTGCTTTTGTTGCATGTTTTCATTCTTAATTGCAGTATGAAGGTGCAGTGGAGAACCGTGGCAAAAATATATGGGACTCTTTCACACGGATCCCTGGTCTCTCTCTGTCACTCTCCTCTGTTGGCATATAATTTATGCCTTGTTTTAATTCATAATCCATATGATAGAGTAGAATTAAATATATTTGCTAAAAATATTTGTGATATATATCTTTGTCCATAATTTTATGTGTTCCTTAGCTTAGATGTCTTCATCCTTTTCTTACAGCTCTTTCCCTGCATTTGGATCATTGGGTGGTGCATTATATATGGTTCATATTTCACTTATGCATTTGGGCCAGTATATGACCACACCACCATATTTACTTTTATATTTTATTACTAATACTTTTTCCCTTTTAATCGTGTCTTTTATCCGAACTCGTCTCATACTGCAATATTATCCGCTTTGCACTCTGTTCAGACTCAAGGTTTTTCTATAGACACCGCTCTTGGAAACCAACATCGATCCTCGTGCTTGGAAACCAACATCCTCGCTCATAGTCTTATGCACACTCCCTCATGTTTCGGGTGGGGGTTGACTTTGATTCCATCTATCAAGACCCACATCACACTGCAGATATTGTTGTTGCACCACGATTTGTTTTCAAAATGCGTCTATGCACTGTCACATATTTTCTAATCATTCCAATTATCCATGTTGACATCTATTTCAGCTACATGTAACTACGATATAAGTTACACTACATAAGGTTCTACCTCTCCTATTTGTATACACACACACTTCTATAACGTTAACCTTTGATCTTTCATTAAGTGTCTAATCCATTACAATGATTTAATACATGGAAAACTTGGGCAAAGACTAGTACATGTAATTATCTTCGTGTGCCCTTTATTTAGAAAAAACTTTATTTGCTTAATGGCAGGTAAAATAAAGGACGGTTCTAATGGAGATATTGCTGTTGATTCTTATCATAAGTTCGAGGTAAAACGTAACAAAAATATATACTATATATATATATATATATACACACACACACTTATATCAGTTTTGACAATACAATCGTGTGTTACAATTAGGAATGGCAAACAGATTTTGGTGATAATTATATTTTTTTTCTTAAACCATGTTGTAGGAAGATGTGGCGTGCATGAAAAGAATGGGTGTAGATGCCTACGGATTTTCAATTTCATGGTCTAGAATATTGCGAGGTAATTGTTGTCTTTCAATTTCTGATTAATAAATAATAATAGTTTGCTTTTTCATAAAATAATAATAATAATAATAGTAATAATAATTGATTTCCACGGTTGTGTAGACATTTATATATGAAAGATTGTGCATTATGCAGTGTGAATTAATTATTTTGCACAAAGTACAACAACAACCGAGCATATTTGGAATCAGTTACATGAATTTTATGTTTCCATTCCGTTCTATAAGGCTATAACTTCGTACTTTTCAACTCGAACTTTTATCATTACACCATTAAATGCCCCTGATTCCAGAACTAGATTTTGAAACAGAAATGATGATCAAGGAATTCAGAACAAACATTCATATTACCATAACCATAAAACCATATGGTTGAGTTACTCACTTGCTCCAAGCATTTGATAGAATGTCTCATTGATTATTTAATAGTTGCAACACTTAAAAAAGTTCAACCTATTGTTCCCATACTTTAGTTTTTGTTAGTTTTAATTTGTTTTTGTTAATTTTTGCAATATATCTTTAGGTGGAAACCTCAGTGAAGGTGTGAGCTCAGAAGGAATCAAATACTACAAAAACCTCATAAAGAAGCTCCTGGACAATGGTTTCCCTTCAATCTCAACTCTTTCTATGATTGATTATTTAGCTTGTCAAATGCATACTTTTTTCTCTTCTCAAATTAAAATTTTATGTTATCATATATATATATATATATATATATATATATGCAGGCATAGAGCCCGTTGTGACTCTCTTCCACTGGGATCTTCCCCAACCTCTAGAAAATGCTTATGGTGGCTTCTTAAGTCACAAAATTGTGTAAGTAATCAAGTAATTGTGTCATCCTATGATGCCGTTGTGTTTGAATTGAAAGAATTGGAAATAACAATATAAATTACATATATAGAAAAATTAACGTGTACTCTAAGGTTGATCTTGAGATATATGGTAAGACACTATACAACCATTTGCTAACTAATGAAGCCATGTTGATCTACTTAACAGGGCTGATTTCTGTATATACGCGGACTTTTGCTTCAAAACATTCGGTGATCAAGTGAAGAACTGGGTGACACTGAATGAGCCAAGTTGCTATAGCAGCGGTGGGTATGCAACAGGTTCACTCGCACCGGGTCGTGGTGCTTCAGCGCAAGGGCATGCAACAGTTTCACTTGCACCGGGTCATGTTTCTTCATTGCCAAGGCATTCAAATATGGGTATCATTCCTCCTACATGGGGTCGATATACTTCTTGGCAACCAAGTTGCAACAATGGCGGTGATAAAGGCATAGAGCTGGGTGATTCCGGCACAGAGCCGTATTTGGTGACGCATCACCAACTCCTTGCTCATGCAGCTGCAGTAAAACTTTACAGGGAGAAATATCAGGTCCCTACTTGATAAAAGGATTTTTTTTTATATTTTTTTTTAATTATTGTGTTCAGATGGCTTTAATTTTGAGTAGTGGATAAGGTTATAGAACACAATTGGTGTCTTGATTGATTGAATGTTTAACATTATTAATTTGTAGGCATCTCAAAAGGGAAAGATTGGAATCAAGCTGATGGTAGTATGGATGGAGCCTCTCACTGAATCCAAGGGCAACCGCGATGCTGCTCTACGAGCTCTAGATTTTCTGTATGGATGGTGAGTGTTTTTATATTGTTTATTCATTGATGTGTCATATATATCTAACAATGACTACGTACATTGGGTGGTATGTCTTAATTTTGAATGTTCAATGTGCATTGTAGGTTTATGGATCCATTGACTAATGGTGACTATCCACATAGCATGCGAACTCGTGTAGGAAACAGACTTCCGAAGTTCTCTTCTATAGAATCCATGATGGTGAAGGGGTCATTTGATTTCATTGGACTAGACTACTATACTGCTAGATATGCAGCTAATGAACCTAATTGTACTGGGAAACCAAGTTACCTTACAGATTCTGGTGCTCAGCTCTTAAGTAAGTTCAAATTCATCTCTAATATCTATATATATACATATATATATATATATATATATATATATATATATATATATATATATATATATATATTTGCTCTTTAATTATGAACTTCAAATGTAAACTAATAATCCCTTCTGATTGACCATGATGATGTTTTGTTTTGGTAGCTGAGAGGAATGGGATCCCTATTGGTCCAAAGGCAAGGCCTCTAAATTCATTTCATTCTATTTTTTGTGGTGTTTAAAATATGAATTACTTTGCTTCTGATTAATTGATTTTAGCTTTGTATTTGACTCGGATACAATTGCTAAAAAACAATGATATATTTGCCGATGTATGTCTTAACATTGGCTATTCATTTGGTTAAAGGGATGTAGAGGAAACCTAAAGTAGTTTAATATGCCTTTCTGCAACCACCATTACATGCCTTAAATGTATTAAGAGACAAAAATGTTTTAAGATCTTTTATTTAAAAATAAATAAAATTTTTGATACCCAAATGGAAATTCATGAGAGCTTTATATATATATATATGAAGTTCAATTAATATATACTTATCTCTCCTTTATATATCCTTATATTTTTCAAATGTGGTGCAGGCTGGTTCAGATTGGCTCTATGTTTATGAAAAAGGAATTTGGGATATTTTACTCTACACAAAGAGAAAGTACAATAACCCACTTGTTTATGTTACAGAGAATGGTAATCAATTTGTCAAACCTTTTCTCATCAGTGTCAATAAATGTCCCAATTATATTATTTTAAGGTGATAAAATATTCAAGATTGGTAAATTGAATACGACTAATTTTACATGAGATAATATCACCCATTGTTTTGCAGGGGTTGATGAAGCAAATGAGCCCACATTGTCACTTCCACAAGCCTGTATTGACATCCACAGAATTGATTTCCATTATAAACATCTCTGTTTCGTTAAGCGAGCGATTGAGTAAGTGCCTGAAAGGCTTCAAACGATAATATGTGACCATGCATACACGTGACCTTTTATTATTATTTTTTCTTTTTGTTTTTTTAAATTATGCAGGGATGGTGCCAATGTGAAGGGATATTTTGCATGGTCGCTGATGGATAATTTCGAGTGGAGTGAGGGTTTCACCGTTCGTTTTGGCATAAACTATGTGGATTTCAAGAATGGGTTAAAACGATATCCAAAACTCTCGTCTGTATGGTTCAACGTTTTGCTCAAAAAGTAGTGACATCTGTGTGTGATTACTGCTAATAAACTACCGCGTGCTTGCTGCCAATAAGCTGAAGATAATTTCTCGGTTATGTTCTCTAATGAATATCTATAATATATATATATATATATATATATATATATCTATATATTCTCAAAATCCCCATCTTCAGTGTTGGGATGGGTTGAATTTGAGGGATGGGGAAGGGCTACCCCTGCTGTTTAGCTTGCTGTTGTCTTCTGGTCAAGAAATGTGTGTGTCTATGTATACAATAAGTAAATAAATTAATGGCCTTGCTGTTGGATGGCCTTTTTGTTTCATCTTCAATGTCATGCATTTGCGGGAACAAGACAATGTGAATGGCTGTCACAAATTTCAGTTTTTCATTTTAATTTTGTGAGTTGTAACTATTAGCAAATGAAAATTGTAAATTATCCATTACTCATGGGCATAGTTTGCCGTATTGGTTGATATGAGACGTATCGGTTGGTTCGTAAAAAAAGTGTTCGATACCGTTGCACTGTTGGGAAACGTGCAAGTTTTTAAAACTTTTTGAGGGATTTGCAATCATGGATCTTGATTCATCACATAGAGACAAGTTTTATGCAAAGATAAATAACAAAAATGATGCCTAATTCAATAAATACTTACATCAAAGGTCATCAAAGGTCTGAGTAAACCTTTTGAACTTTCCTCTAAAGTGAATGTTCTCACTTATTGTAAATCCCTTTAGCAAGATCATTTCTCCTTCTTTTTGATTATTATCTTCCCTTTAGGAATCACCAATATGCCTTGATGAATGACCTTGGAATCTAGGCTGGTGGTAGCCTCCTTTAGAAGAGAAACAAAACCCTAAAATCTAGAGAGAGAAAGTGTATTCCTTTTTCTTATTCTCCAAGTCACACCTAAAATATACATGAACTCATGTATATATAGGCAAAATAAAAATAAGAATAAGGAAACAATAAATCATTCTCCATCTCTAATTCAACTTTCTCAATCCTAACATGACTCCAATATCAACTTGGGCTATTGGTGAGAATCCTTTTGGGCTTACTATTTTCTTGGCTCTTATAAATTAATAATTGGTCCGGTCTATTAAACCATGGACCCAATTCAATTAATTCATAAATTAATTTCTACTCCACTAAAAGAAATTAATTGCACTCCAATTAAATAGTAAATAACCTCTAAATCAATGTTGCACTTTGACCCCTTTATACTTAATTATTTATCGGATAATTAAAGCCATCAATCCGACAACATAATTAGTATAATTATTTTGTTACCTTTGATTATTTCCGGCTCGATCACAATAAAATATTTATTTGACAAAAAATAATAATAATTTATTAAATAAATATATATATAAAACATTTGTCTAAAACATACGAAGGCCTTCGAATTTAATTTGTGATAAACCATAATCAAAACAAAATAAATACAAATAGCACTGATGCAAATATTGAGAATATAGACCTCTAATTATTAATTACATAACTACCCAAAGTGTCGATCTAAGGATCCCGAGGTATCCGCCGAACAAATCAAAGTAATTATTAATTAATAAAAGAGTCTATACTTCTCTCATGCTTGAGAGTCAAAAGCCATGACTGTGATAGAGAGCAATTGCATACGACAGCTCTCGCAATATATCTCAATCTATCGTGGATTCGGTTTAAGTCTTAACTAATTAAATGTCCATCCATAATTACCGACTTTAAACCATTTATGATTACTAATTTATATCATAGTATTAATTGCCATTACATACATATATAAATATATTTTGTAATCAAGCGGACACCATCAATTCCATAAAGAATCGAAAAATAATACATTCCATTCACTAATTGTATAATGCTTTAATAATAATATCCAGACAAGAAACCATGACTTTTACAATCCAAAATTAGAATTTGCTATGCTAGGGCACACATATCCTAACAGCTCCCACTTGCACTTATAGCCAATTCAAATCACATCTAACTCCCATGTTCTCCATATGACGATCAAACATCTTGAATGGTAAAGCCTTTGTGAATGGATCAGCAAGGTTATGTTCCGATGCAATCTTGGCTACAAGTATATCTCCTCGCTTTACTATATCACGAACCACATGATGTTTCCTCTGAATGTGTCTTGTTCCTTTATGAAATTTTGGGTCCTTGGTTTGGGCTATAGCTGCACTATTATCACAATGAAGCATCATAGGCCGATCTATATGCTCCACAACCTCTAGTTCAATTAGAAAGTTTCTCAACCAAACAGCTTCTTTTGCTGCCTCAGAGGCTGCAATGTATTCTGCTTCCATGGTTGAGTCAGCAGTACAACCCTGCTTGACACTCTTCCAACTAACTGCCCCTCCATTGAACTTAAACACATATCCAGATGTAGATCTCCTGGCATCTGGATCTGATTGAAAATCAGAATCCGTATATCCGACTGGAACCAGATCATCACCTCCATAAATGAGCATTAGATTCTTAGTTCTTCTAAGGTATTTTAAGATATTCTTCACAGCTGACCAATGATCAAGTCCAGGATTGGACTGATATCTACTGACAATCCCTACCGAGTAGCAGATGTCCGGTCTGGTACAGACCATGGCATACATGAGACTACCAACTGCCGAAGCGTATGGTACCCGCCTCATTTGCTCAATTTCCTTATCAGTCTTGGGAGACTGGTCATTAGAAAGAGCCAACCCATGTCTAGATGGCAAAAACCCTTTCTTAGAGTTTTTCATTCCAAACCTGATCAGAACTTTGTCAATGTAAGACTCTTGAGACAAGCCTATTTTCTTTTTAACCCGATCTCGCATAAGCTTGATCCCAAAAATATAGCTTGCTTCTCCAAGATCTTTCATCTCAAATTTATTGAACAACCACCTTTTAACTGATGACAATGCTTCTACATCATTACCAATGAGCAAGATGTCATCAACATATAAAACGAGAATCATGATGACATTACCTTGTTTTTTCTTGTAAACGCAAGGTTCAAACACGTTTTGTTCAAAGCCAAATAATTTGACTGCCTGATCAAAACAAATGTTCCATGTACGTGAAGCTTGCTTCAGTCCATAAATAGACCTATTCAACTTACATACACAGTCCTCACGACCTTTAACCACGAAACCATCTGGTTGCCTCATGTAGATGTCTTGTTCAAGATGGCCATTTAAAAATGCCGTCTTAACATCCATCTGCCATATCGCATAGTCATAATAAGCATTAATGGCCAAAAGAATGCGAATAGATTTAAGCATTGCAACTGGTGAGAATGTATCCTCATAATCAATACCTTCACGTTGAGTGAAGCCTTTGGCAACCAGTCTAGCTTTGAATGTCTCAATATTCCCATCCATTCCTCTCTTTCGTTTGTAGATCCATTTACAACCAATGGGCTGAACCCCACTAGGAAGTTCTACAACATCCCAGACTTTGTTAGATAACATCGATTCCAACTCTGATTTCATGGCATCTTTCCAACGATTCGCATCTATATCGGTCAACGCTTCCGCATAGCTTACTGGGTCCGACTCATGCTTATCGGGGACGGCCTCATAGACCTCACCCAAAAGTGTGAGTTTTTCGAGTTGGATGATAGTCCTCCCACTACGCCGAAGGACCGGTGCAGGAATCGATGTACTAGATGATGGTAATTCAATAGGGACTTCTTGTGTCTCATCATTCTCAGTATTTATATTAGGTGTGTCCACAGGGGGTATATCTGACGTGCCAACCATCTCCTCTAACACTATTTGGCTACTAGGTTTGTGGTTCATAATATAATCCTCCTCCAGGTAAATAGCATGAGTGCTGACAATAACCTTATTGTCCCTGGGATCATAAAATAATTCACCTCTAGTGCCCTTAGGATAGCCAACAAACAAGCATGCATCTGATCTTGCTTCCAACTTGTCTGCCTGTTTCTTTCGCACGTGTGCTGGACACCCCAATATATGCATGTGATTTAAACTAGGTTTACGTCCAAACCACAGCTCATATGGCGTTCCTGAAACAGACTTGGATGGAACACAGTTCAAAATATACATCGCTGATTCTAAGGCTAATCCCCAAAATGATAGAGGTAATGTAGCAAAACTCATCATAGATTTAACCATGTTAAGTAAAGTTCTGTTTCTCCTTTCTGCCACTCCATTCTGTTGAGGGCAGTCAGGTGCGGATAACTGGCGCACAATACCCTCATTGACCATATGATCCTTGAACTCCCCCAAGAGGTATTCACCTCCTCGATCAGATCGAAGTGTTTTGATAAGTTTACCTAATTTACGCTCCACTTCCGCCTGAAACTCACGGAATTTTCCATAAGCTTCTGACTTGTGTCGCATTAGGTAAATATATCCAAAACGTGAATAATCATCAATGAAAGTGATGAAATACTCAAACCCTCCTCTCGCTTGGGTGTTCATGGTACCACACACGTCTGTGTGCACCAACTCTAATTGTTCTTTGGCTCTATCTCCTTTGGCTGAGTAAGCCCTTCGAGTCATCTTTCCTTCAATACAGGATTCACAAGTTGGCATAGGCTCCTCTGCCTCACCAGGTAATAAACCTTTTTTAACCAACCTTTGAATCCTATTTTGATTGATGTGACCCAATCGTAGATGCCAATGATACAATGAGTTTGGAGAAACTGCTTTTCTTTTAACATTCAATCTAGATGAAGTTGCATTTAATTCATAATTTTGCATTTGATATGAGCTAGGAGTTAAAACATATAGATTATCTTTCAATGCACCAGAAGTTATAACACAACCATTTAATTTAATTAAAACATTTTTTCCAAAAGTAAAAATATAATTTTTACAAACCAACGAAGAAACTGAAATTAAATTGTGCCTAACATTTGGCGCATAAAGACAATCTTCTAAAATAAGACTCCTCCCACTAAACTGCATATGAACCACTCCCACTGCTTTAGCTTTCACCTTGGCATTAGATCCCATATGCAAGTATATCTCTCCTTCATTGAGGCTTCTGGACTCCTGGAATCCCTGCAATGAATTGCAAACATGATTAGTGGCTCCAGAATCTATGCACCAGGAATCTATAGATTCAACCACATTACATGCCTCAACAATGAATATACCTTTTCCTTTGCCTTGTGTGCGAAGTATTGGGCAGTTAGGTTTCCAGTGACCCGGTTGACCGCAATGAAAGCAGTTTCCTTCGCCTTCAACCCGCACTTTCTTCTTTCCCTTATCCTTTTGGATTACTTTGTTTGGCACAACCACAGTTTTGGCACCATCCTTCTTCTTTTTCTTGCCCCTCCTCTTGGGCCTAGAAGTGGA